TTCATTTATATCAATCTTGATATCTTGATGAATGTGCATTAGAGCAAGACTATTAAATCTACTCTGTGACATTGTGTCTTTATTCAGAAATATTTAAAACGTTATTTGGCATTGCAAAGAATCCATTATAAATAGCTATGTTTCTATTAGAAAAACGTAACTGAATCTGAAATGACTAATGGTCAAGAAAAAGAATCGTAATAACATTCTTGTTGTACTCATTAATTGATTCACTAGAAGAATTATTTCAATTTAACTGTTTTCCTATTATATGAGGCTTGTGCTCATTAACACCAACACTAGCTGCCAATACTACTGCCTCACTATACCAAACACCATGACTGTGTTTAATGTCTGATCTTAGCCGCTGTAAGGCAACATGTAACAAAGTTACTTTTTCAAAAACGTCAAAGTTTGATTCAAGCCTGAATCACATGGAATAAAGCCAAGAAATAATTCACAAATTTCACAATTATTATCTACAAAACGCAACACAAGTGACATTTGCTCCACATTGCTAACATCTGATGCTTTATCTGCTAATATTGAAAAAAATTTGGCTTTTTTAACATCTGATGTTAATTTAGAAACTACAATATCATTACAAATATTTATCAGCTCATTTTGAGTAGTTTTAGATCGATATGTAGCATTTTTAGAAACAGTAACAATTTGCCCATACACTAAATCATTTTCTGCGCAAGTAGATATTAATTTTAAAATTGCTTGAAGATTACCCAAGTTGTTATTTTCATTTTTATAGTAAAAAGAACCATTTGGGTCTCCTTGGAGAGGTATGTTTTGTTTGCCACACATAATAATTGACAGAACTATTGGTTTTAATATTTTTCTATTTTTCCTGACTTGTTCATCAATTACTGAGTTAAGATTTAAATCAATAAAATTTATCTTTTTTCCATACATTAGCGAAAAAATGCTTTAAGAGTTGCAGTTAGGTGAATTGGTGAGCTTTCAGCATGTTTATAAAACTTTTTAATGTCCTTTGAATATGTCTCAAATGGAGATTTATAAAGCTAATCAAGTTTGCTTGCATTACGACTTGATTTATCAGATCCGAAAATAACACAATTAACACAAAAAGCATCTTTTTTATTTTCTGAATATGCAAGCCAAGAGAACAAAGAGAGCCAAGAGAATTGAAAATAGTGACCTGATTTATTGAATTCTAAATGAAAACTAGAACTTTGTTTATGAACATTTTTAAGAAAACCATATTTTTCTTCATTGCTTAATTTATTAATTTTATAAGTTGCATAGAGCTCAACATCATGTTTGTTTACAAAAGGTAGATCACAACAATTTCCAAAAATAAAAGAATTACTTTCTGAGTTTAGATTTTTTTGTGGCTCGTTAGATATTGAAGAACATTTTGCAGTGACAGATAGTGTAGAACTTTTTAATTTCAGTGGCGACGATACTAAACAAACTTTTTTTTTTTGCAGGAAAAGGTGAATTAATAGTAAATTGATCAATTTTAAGTTGCTTTCTTTTTTTGAAGGAAGTACATTTACTTGACCCTAATATATCTGCTTCCTGAGAAGAATCTAGAATCAAGATAGTAAATTTTAAAGTAGCAACCTGGTTTGTTTGAGTTAATTTAACAGGTAATTCAGCTAATTTAGGTGCAAAAATATCAGGTATATTGTATTTTTTAGATGAACTTGTAAAAGATATTAAAGGGACAAAATGATTTCTGTTTACTGATAAATTAGAGGCCTGATTAAATCCTGTGATAACTGAAGAGCAACGAAAAACACATACTTTTTTTGAAGAGTGTTTAACACGAGGCCTAATAGTGCTATTAAAAAACATATCATAAACATTCTTCTCGACTTTTTTTGTATCATTTTCACAAGGATAATAGGACTCAATTTGCATTCCAATAACAATTGAGAAAGTGCACATAGTAAGAAATGAAGAATAAGAATAGTTTGTAGGAATATTGATAGACTCTGATAAGACACTTGGTATTCTTTTATTTTTACAATAGGAATCATATGCTTTTTGCAAAATAATAATAAAAAAAGCAGTGTTTTCATTGATAATTCAAGAACTTGTAGGATCATTTGAGAAAAAATAATTGGATGATTTGAATAAAAATCAGCATTCATATATAATTCGATACTAGTTAGATATCTAAATTATTCTGACAAAAATTCATTGCCAATTAACTATTGTTAATTGTGGAACAACCATTAATATAAAAAATACAAAAATGGAACAACCATTAAACAAGCAGTTTCCATTTGGAATAATAATTTTTAAGAAAAAAAAACAACAACTGATGACTCCTATCAACTATAAAATTTTATCTTAAAAGTTTCTAATAATTTCCAATGCTTTAGTACAAAAAAATATACAGAAATTTTTAAAGCAGTCAGATATATATAAATATATACATATATATATATATATATATATATATATATATATATATATATATATATATATATATATATACACATATATATAATATATATATATATATATATATATATATATATATATATATATATATATATATATATATATATATATATATATATATATATATATATATATATATATATATATATATATATATATATATATTGACTGCTCCAAAAATACATTTGGTGGAAAAATTTATGTTAACCTACTTTTTAAATAACATATAAAACAGAATATATTAATACATTAATATTGGTAGAATCCTATATTGACATGATTACATAATATAATAAATTATTATTGCCGCAATAAAATAGATTATCATTGCTTTAAAAAAAATGAAAACATATAAAGCATTACTTGCAAAATTCTTTACTATACTTGAAAGACATAACTTTGTTAAATCTGGGATAGTAGCTAAATTCCTTTAAAAAAAGAAAATTTATATACATATATGTTTGCATGTATATATGTGTGTATATACATATACATACTTATAGTGTGTATATACATATACATACATATAGATATTACACACATATGTGTAAACATATAAATATATATATATATATATATATATATATATATATATATATATATATATACATATATACATATATATGTGTGTGTGTAAATATATACATATACACATATGCACAAATAAACATATATACAGCCCTCAAAATAAGGGTCGGCATTCGCCAATGCCGACCTAACTACTGACCTTAAAGTGTTTGAGGTCAGCAAAAATAGCTTGTTTCTATTTTTATGGTAACTTCTTTGATTCATTTTTTTTTTTTTTTTTTTGCCAACCTGATGCCAACCTCTAACAGTGCTCTATCATCTGACCTCATTTTTTCAGAAATCGGTAGAAGATTAAAGAGACCAGATCACGTTATCCGTAATTTCTTGAAAAATCCAACAGATTAAGCAACAATCAAGAGGAAACCAAAGAAATCTAAGGTTTCAAGCCGTGAAAAACGCAGAATTGTTCAACTCACATCAAATTCATCAAAAAGTTTGAAAACAATCAAGTCAGATTTGGGTTTAAATGTTTGCAAAAAGACAATTAGGAAAGTTCTTAAAGACAGCCCACACATTGTACGATTAAAAATGAATAGAGCACCAAATTTGAAGCCCGTTCACAAACAGAAACAGATGGAATTCGTTAGCAAAAACATGGCACGCAATTGGGAACAAGTAAGAAATTTTAGATTAAATTTTCATGAATACGTAAGATGTTTAAATAGCTGAATATTTTTGTTTTCAAAAAATACCAGGTGATTTGTTCAGACGAGAAAAAGTTTAATCTTGATGGGCCTGATGGTTTTAGTGGATACTAGGGTGATTTGAGAAGAGAGCCCAAATATTTTTTAATAAGGAATTTCGGTGGTGGATCTTTGATGGTTTAGCTTGGGTTTTGTGCAACAGGAAAGTTAAATTTAGCATTTACATCTTGCAAAATGAAAAGTTCTGAATACATTGATGTGCTAAAATCATGCTTGATTCAATTAAAAAACAAATATCAGCACAAAAAGTTTGTTTTTCAACAAGACAACGCCAGCATTCATACTAGTAAAAAGACTAAAGCTTGGTTTGAAGCTAAAAAAATTGAGCAAATGTGGTGACCTGCTTGCAGTCCAGATTTGAATCCTGTTGAAAACATCTGGGGAATCATTGTAAGACGTATCTAAGCTGACCAGAAGCAATATAACTCTGTTGCAGAGCTAAAAGTAGCAGTATCAGAATGCTGGGAGAATATATGGAGCCAAAAGTGCTGGAAAACTTGGTGGGAAGTATGCCAAAACGAATTTATCAAGTAATTGAGCGCAAAGGAGGTCCAATCGAGTACTAAAAATGTGATAAAAACATTTTTTTTTTATATAGTAAAGTTAAAAAATGTGAACAGCGTCTATTTAGTTAATTTAATTAATAAATTATAAATAAAGTACCAAAAAATGAAAATGAAAATTATCAAAAAATAATATCAAATTTGATAGCGATCAATCATAAATGAATTAAGTTTAAAAGATAGCGCTGACTATTTAGCCAGCTATCTTTTAAATTTAATTCATTTTTATAAAAATAAAGTTAAGTACGTTTTAAGACATAATCCACATGCGCCTATAGAAAATGGTTGCAGTGTGTATATATATACATATATATATATATATACATATATATATATATATATATATATATATATATATATATATATATATATATATATATATATATATATATATATATATATATACATGTATATATATACATACATATATATATATATGAGTGTGTGTAGATATATATACATAAGCAAATAAACAACTCTTAATAACTCAAAACTCTTAATGACTCAAAACCTCTACATGTTCTGCCGATAAAGAGGTAAAACATGGCTACATCGACTGAGGGTTTTGGTTTGGGCAGACAATCTATCAATTAAAAAAAAAACTTTTCCAGTCATAGAGTTTACATTTTATGGTAGAAATTAAAGATGACTAAGCAAGATTTTATGTATATATACAGTACTTTTTTTCTCTTAAAATGCACCAGAACTGCATTGCAGCACCTTTTTTTTAAATATATAAACTTTTTTTTTCCCTCGTATGAATATAAATGAACTTAGTTCATTTTTAAATATTAAATATTTTTAATCCAAAAAAAAGTTGCATTAAAAAATCTTTAAATTAAAAATGCAAATGTGGGTTGTAAAGATCAATTAAAACATATTTTGCAGATATGAAAACACTACAGCACTGTATTTCAGAATCTATTGTTTCTTATTAAAAACTAAATTTGCTTGAGAAGAAATTACTTTAACTTTTCTTGTTTATTTCATTCCTTTTTATGTTTAATATTTAAAAATGTTTAACATTTATATCTATTGTTTCATTTTTGACATATAAAAAAGGTAGAGTTCTGACACCTTTTTTTCTAGGAAAAAAGCACTGTGTATATATATATATATATATATATATATATATATATATATATATATATATATATATATATATATATATATATATATATATATATATATTTAAAAATGAAAGAAGTGTACTTTTTTAATAATAAGTCCCAAAAAAATCTTAATAATTTTATAAAGATTGTTATTTTTAAAATTTTTATATAATTTCGCTTTATATATTATTTATAAATAAAACTGCATATTTTTCACAACTATTAGTTTCATGCTAAATGCACTCATCAGGTGTAAATATGTTTTTTTTCTCGTAAAAATAATAAATCTGTACAAAAGCAAATGAGTTAAAAAATCTAATCTTTTGGTTTGTGGTTGTCCAGCAAAAACTTGTTCTCATGGCGACATTAGATATTAGTTCGTTTTTTTTATTTAATAATTCTTGAGGATTTTTATACAATAAAATAATTAGTTTTTCGTATAAGCATAACAAGCATTTTTTGGTTATGTTGTTGTACGCGGAGGCATACTTTATGATGGACCATTTTAAATTGGGTGTTGTTTTTGTTTTATTTTGTGTATCCCATATATATTTAGAAAGCGTGGTTGCATTTGTGAGTTTTTTATTTTTGAAGGATTGCTTGTGATTCGCCTATCTAGTTTTCCACATGCCCTCTGTTGAACCAATGTATGTTTTGTCGGATGTGTTTGGGAATGATGCAATGCACTTATAAAGTACATTTGTTTTTCTGCAATTTCCATTCATAGGGCAGATTTTGCTTAGTTTACAATTGCAAGCTAAAGTGGCCGTTGGGTTCATCAAAATAATTTTATTGTTGTGGTTATGTTGCTTGTACAGCTGTAGCTGACTTTTGTTGTGTTACGGTTAAATAGTTTATGAAGCGGATTTGGTTTTGGAAAGTGTTTGTCGATTAATTGTAAGAAGGTTTTGCCTATATTTGTGAGAACGACATTCCAAAATGTAGGAAAATATAGTGAGTGATTTTCCCAATTGTAGAGGAACTTTTCATTAACAATAAGGGACCTTTTTTTTTAATTTTTTGAATTAAAACTCTAGCCAACTCACTAAGTTTTCCAACCAAAATTTTTCTACCAAAAATAAAACCAAAAAATTAATAAACTTTCCAACCGAAAAAATAATGGCCATAAAATTTATAGTTTGGTTACCACACCGCATACACATTTGGATTACAAAACAAGATATTTTAATGCAATGCTAAATATATAGATTTTAAAGCAATAGTAAAATATAAAGAAATATGTTGTATGTCTCCTAAAACCTGTAATGTAATAATATATTAATAGTAGCAGTAGTAATATTTTGCTAAGACTGGAAAACGACAAGGCCAACGTAAAGTTGTTTTACAATGACAATAATCATGACATAGTTCATATAAGTACTTGAAATCATCTCACCATCAAGGTTTTTCGCCAGTGTTAACATTATCTGTTGCAACAAGGTGGAAATCAGCCTGAAAAGAAACATAACTTTCTTTTTATTTGTCAATAAAGAAGTAGTTGAGTTCTGGTTTGATTTTTGGCTCTTGAATAAGAAAATTTATGACATGTTTCAGAATGAGGTCAAACACACGGTGCTGACAGCTAATATATTGTAATTTCAGAAAGCCCTTGATTAAGACATTGTCCTGTATGAGCTTTACAATTCCGTGCACACAACCAGTATTTATTGCAGTTGTGACACAGACTATCATGCTAATAATTAATCAAACATTGTATGATCAATTAGGTGATGTAGTTCCTTGTGAATAGCTGCAGCAGAACCACTCTCACATTTAAGAATACCAAGTTTGATTTCAGTTATCATACATTTTAGCAGAAATGCTTAATACTCTTCCCCTTGCTGTTTAAGTGCTTGCTCTTTGGTATTTTGGTTTGCGATTTGGAGAAGTTGATGTAGAGGAAGATGTTGGCAGGTGAAGAAAAAGATGTTTCAGAATCCGAAGATTCTGTTTGTAAAGGTTGCAACTGGACAGAGGCTTGAGGTTGAGCTTTTGATAGTCAGACTTGTTTTCTTGGGTGAATTGATTCCAAAGGGGGTTGTTTGAACATTGAATAACCAATCCTTCTTCCACTCTTAACTTGCCTCTGATAAAGCTCTTTATCCCCCATGCTTTTCCATTCTCTATTAATGTTGGTGACATCAAATAATTGAGAAAGTGTTCCAGTGAATTTATCAGATGGTTTCTTTTTGTTTTTGTCATATAGATCAATTAGAATATTGAGTTTCTTTCTGATGAGCGCGCTGGATAATAGTAGAATGTCTAGAATTTCTCTCCAGAAAATCTTTATATCAGTAATCAAAATTTTGATTTGAACCAGTTGCTGTTTCTTGCTATTGAACAGAAAAGTGAAGTTTCAAAGAATTTGACAATTTGTTGGCACCTGTGTGAGATTGGTTAGCTTAATAATAAATTAGTTTTTTAAAACATTATTTTAACTAAATTAGTTAAATTAATGTTGCTGCTGTCAGTTTTATACAATTTTTCCTCGAATGTTAGGGGTTTCAGTTTTGTTACAAAAAGCAATATTAAGTTCGGCGCGAAGGAGGGGTGTGGGACACACACACATACACACCCTTTTTGTGAGTTTTTGTTTATTTTAAACAAAAAATGAATTTTTGGTTCATTTAGTCAGCTAATTTGGACATTTTAGACAAATCAGTAGATAAATGCAGACCTATTAGTCAAGTCAGTCAGCAAATTTAGACAGTCAGTCAGCAAATTTTAAAAAACCAGGACCTTTTTTTTTCTTTTTTTCAAAAAAATGTCCCACATAACACCTACTTGCACCAGCCATATACATATATATATATATATATATATATATATATATATATATATATATATATATATATATATATATATATATATATATATATATATATATATATAATAATAATAATAACAATAATAATAATAATAATAATAATAATAATAATAATAATAACAATAATAATAATAATAATAACAATAATAGTAATAATAATAAATAATAATTTAAATGCACACAATAAATGCATATTATGGTGTTTTCAATAACTTCAGAAAGGATTACTGGAACATATATTTTTTTGAAAATGACAAACAAGTTGCAGTTAATGTGAATGACATTCATTACCAGGCAATCTTTGAAAATGTTTTATAACCAGAAGTAGAAAACATTCCAGAATTGTGATTCCAACAAGATGGAGTCACATTTGTTAAAGGATTAATTGTATGTTATTATGTCAAGAGCAATCCAAAAGCTTAAGGCCAATATCCAAAAAGAAGTGAGGCTGCTGGGATCTGAAATATTAAAAAAGATATGGAAAATATTATGGAAAGAGCACACCAGAGCAAAGTAAACAACAGGCATTATTTAAAAAATATTCAACATATAATGTGAATATATTTCTAAACTTTAACCTAAATGTTTTTAAATGTCAAAATTATATAAAATCGGAAAGATAAAAGTTAACCATTAAACAAATTATAACATTACTAATGCATCACTATATTACATGGCATGAATATAAATGGTAATTAAAATAAAATGTTGAATTCCAGATGTTACTAAGTTATTTTCTAAATTTATTTTATTAACTTCTTTTAGTTTTTTAACTAATATTTCTAGAAACAAAAAATATTATTAGAAAATATTACCATTCTGAATCTTCTGCAATAGTTCTTCTCATTTGATAACAATGCAAAAACTCTGCATATTTTAATATAAATAATATTTAAAGGATACTTATTTTGAAGACAATAAATAGAATATACCAAATAAGTAAAAAAGGAAATCTGATTTTAACAAACAAAAAAATAGGTTATAAAACTGCTTAATTATTTATTTCAACTATTAATTTAATTTTAATAAATAAAACATTATATATATTTTAATTTTAAATATTATTACTAACCTTTTCGACTTTACTCGCTACAGTACAATAAAAATCAAAATTATTTCAACCTATACAAATATAATGTGGATAATTTAGGTTATTTTAACAATCAAACAAAAAGTTCAAACAAAAAAAGTTCCAGTTATACCTAAAGAATTTAGCGCGTGCAGTCAAAAACAAAGTTCTTTGTAACAGACTAATAAAATAACAATTGAAATAGTCTAGTGAATTTTACAGCACAGTTGTAACGTGTATGTTACAACATAACTAAACATAATCTTAAATATATTTTGATAATATCAAAATATAAATAATCTTTTACCAAGTAATACTATTACTTGTAACAGTTATCAAATCTACTAATACTAATACTATTACTGTTATAGTTATCAAATCACTTTTCAATTGTTTTAGTTGTTAAGGGCTAGAAATTGTTTATCATAGAAACGTTTGTAACCGTGATATAAAAAATAAAGCGGGCATTTATCAGTATGTCTATTTATACCGATATACCGATCTACATATACCGGTATACGCCCTGATAAAACTTTGCTGTACAGTTTATACGCCAATTGCCGTCCATTAACCAATTACTGGCCACTTTTAAAAGCTTTACTCGCATAAGTCTATGGCACAAATTGCCCAAAATTATTATTTAAACTTAATTACTACTTAAAAAATTTTAAATATTGCAATTTCAGGAAAAAATTTTAGGTTTTGATCGCTAGAACTGAATGTTAAAAACGTGATATTATATTTAACAATTTTGATTTCGAAAATTCATACTTTACTGTCATTTTTTATGCGTTGCAAGTATTTGTTGCAGCCAATTCAGAAAGATAAAAAAAAAAAATTTTCTTGAGTAGATTTTGAAACAAAATTATTAAGTTGATGCCTCACATATAATGTTTTAACTAAACTTGATTAAACCTTTCCCAATCCACCATTTACTGAAACTTTTCCTCATACACCATTTACAAATTATATATATATATATATATATATATATATATATATATATATATATATATATATATATATATATATATATATATATATATATATATATATATATATATATATATATATATATATATATATATATATATATATATATATGTATATATATATATATATATTTATATATATATATATAGATATATTTATATATATAGATATATACTGTTAAGTTACTGTTAAATTTTTGTATTTTAAATATTTTAGCGAAAATCTTATTTTAAATGTAATAAAAAGAAAAAAAAAATAACAATTTGCAAGAAGCTTTTTGCAAGAAACTTTTGCAAGAAGCTTTTTGCAAGAAGCTTTTGCAATAAGCATTTTGCAAGAAGCTTTTGCAAGAAGCTTTTTGCAAGAAGCTTTTTCCAAGAACTTGCAAGAAGCTTTTTTTTCCAAATATTTCTATGATGTCATACTAATACGTAACCTAATTAACATAACAATTATTGTTTGGACATAGGACACTGTTTGGACACTGGACTGTTTGATTTAAATTATTACAGCCAAAGTTATGAAAAATTATCCATTTATAATTCGTAAAAAAAAATTAATTTATTCTCCTATCGTAGATGATAGGTTCAATCTTAAAAAGCTCGAAAGAGCTTCATTATGCTTTCTTTTTTAGTATTAGTAAATTTGTTTGATGTAGTTTTATGAAAACTTTTTTTTTTTCTGTAGCAAAAGTTTCAAACTCTTGACTCACTGTAAAGTGAATAAAAGTAGAGAGAAAGTGACCTTTACTGAAAAATTTATATATAGTTATGTTCAATAAATGCCAAAAGATCAATGTGTTTTTTTAATCTAGTTATAAAGGTGCTCTAATATGTCCAATTACGGTCGTATCACAGAGCACCGCTGAGCAACATTTAATGAGAAAGTTCACGCCTCCTTCCTCAAAAGTGTTGCAAATATGACCAGAGGAATCAACCAAGGACCTCTCAATTTGAAAAAAGCGTTTTAATGACTGCACCACGGCTGTTTAAACAATTAAGAAGGTTTCAAGGCTATCGAGAGTCTTTATAATAATTATTCTTTTTAAAAGATGCCACAGTATTTTAAAGACTTCGTTTTAGTTTTGAGGAGCTTGTCCCGCACTAAATGGATAAAAAAATTAGTCAGTAAAATCTTATTGTTTCTTGAATACTCATTTAACAGTAAAAAAAGTGTTATTTAACAACAGATTTTTTTAGTGAGTTATTAATTTTTTATAGATAAAAAAAACATTCTGTTTAAACAATTAATACTTCTTTTGCAACATATAATTGCATCATAAATTTTTTTTTCAGCAAAATAATGTTAAGGGGTTAACAATAAAGCTAATAAAGAGAGAAAAATTTACTTAAGTAGACGTATATTATCTAAACTTATCAGATGCTGGGAATTCAATATATTTTTTATAAGACAGATTTTATATTCAAACTATGAAAGACAAATATCACAGCACCATTGAATTTAAATTTAAATTTACAACCCCCTTTATTTTGGTCTATCTAAATGTAAATCTATGTAAATCTTATCTAAATGTATCTATGTGATCTAAATGTAAATCTATGTAAATCTAAATTTACAACCCCCTTTTTTTTAAATCTAAATTTACAACCCCCTCATTTTTGGTATTTTGAAGGAAGGGTGGAATTAAGAATTTGACATTTATTCTAATATTTTTTATTATATTCTATGGTATTAATTGCTCTAAAAAAAAAAGATATCTTGTTTTTTTTTTTTGTTTTTTTTTTTTTTATATAAAGTATTTGGTACCGAGACATATTATTAAAATTAAAAATAGGCTAGTTGGTAGATCAACGTTTGTTCTGTTATCTAATCAGCATATGTTACTTCTTTTAGTTTATATTCTTTATCGTATACTAGCTGTTGATGTTTTTTTTTATTCCACGTCTTCTTAATTTTAACTCCGGTTGTTTTATTTTTACTCCTACTTTTAACGACATTCGGTAAATAATTCTGTTGAATTCATTTCGGAAGTTTTTGTCCATAAAGCTGTAAATAAGTGGATTTGCTGCTGTACTAATGACTGGAAGGATTTCAATAAAAATATAAAATATAAGTTGTATTAAAAGTTTCTTTTTAGATTTTAAATTTGGAAAGTATTTGGGATCTACAAATATCATACCATTAATAACACAAGAAGGGAAGTAAGATATTAAAAAAGATAGATAGATCACAGCTACAGTTTTTGTTGCTTTTATTTCACGGTTTAACTTGACGACATTATTTTTTATTTCCGTTAACTTGATAGCTTTTATGTGACGATGAATAAGTATCATAAAGCTTGTATAAGAAATTGTCATGATAAATAAAACAGGTCCATATATTCCAAAAAACGAAGTTGCATAAAATACGTAATTATCGTTAACACAAGATTTATTTTCAACAAATATGGTTGAGATGGTTAAGCGGGTCCAGCTGAATATGCATAGTATACCCCAACCAAAAGAAAATATCCAAATAGATATCACCAGCAGCTTAGCTTTCAGTGAGGATAAAAGATTGTTATACCAAAATGGTATTTGTAAAAGAATAAATCTATGTAAAAAATTTAATATTAGTCAGTATTATATAGTTAGCACAGCGCTCCAACCATATGTCAACCAATCAAATTTATAATCAAAACTTTTCTACAAATTTTATTTCCACAAAAAAAAAAAAAAAAAAAAGCTTCTAAACATTATTTTTGAGAATGGTGTTCGACCGGCTGAATAGCGATAATAAAATTTATTTTAGCCAATATAATATATTTTTTAGCCAATAATATATTTCAATAACATAGCCAAAAATAGATTTTAGCCAATAAATTTTGTGATAATCTATCTGCTGATGTTTTAAATACCAATTAGGCATATGAGTATTATGAGCTACTGATTGATTTATAGAAAAAATTTGGCAAAAAAGACGGGTTAGTAAGTTGAAAAACTGTTAATTTCAAAAATAATTTAAAAATACCTGTCAATGACAATTGCAAAAAGGCTTAAAATATTTGCCACATAACCAATAGCGTCGCTCATGAAATAATAATAGCAAACCGATTTATACCAAACATTTGAATTTAATTCAAAGTATATCTTCAAGGGTATTTGACTGATGCCAATCGTCAAATCAGAGAATGCTGAAAAGAAAAAAACCTTCTATCTTTTAGTTTTACATATACAGTAAATTGATTATAGCAACATAGTATAACAAGTACTAGAACCAATATCCTTAGTATGTCTTGCAGGTGCTTTAGTGACATCCATGGAACATCGTTCGGGCATCTTACAGACCATTTTGCTAAGTATTTTTATTTGTAGAAAGTATATTTTTAGAAATAGGATTTAGAACTAATATAAATCTATTTATGTTGCTTTGAGGTATACAGTCAACATCAAAATATATATTTAAAGTTTTATTTATGTATGTAGTTGAAAACAATAATCTATAAATGTTTTTTAAAACATCAAATTAAATATGTGAATATTATGCTACCATATGAAATATTATGCTACCAATTTATTTACGTTTTTAATTTTACTTATTAATAAAATTAAATTTATTAGTACTACGTAGCTAATGATGCATTCTGTAATAGGATTTGACTTATGGTTTTTATTCAAGCTTTTTTGGGCTGTCTTTCTACTTGTTTAATTATATACTGTAATTCAAAACGCACTGTTGAATAATGGCTGCTGGTAAAAACGCTTTATTTAGGGATAAATTGGTTTCTGCCGATTTTGGTGTTTTGTCTCTTCAAGAAAACAAAACGGAGAAAAATAAAGCAGAATATCAATGAAAAAAATAACTTTATTAATTTTGCTGAAATTAGAAGTCTTGTTGACTGTTTTAACCTCTAACTTACACCTGTTTTAGTAAAAAATTTTCAGAAAAATTGTGGAGTACAAACTGCAATAACTAAATAGACTAAACTAAGTAACCCAAAAGCGATTATAGTACTGAAACATACAAAACTCCAACGTTAGGCTATTAAAGAGCTACTTATATTCCAATGAGATGCCAATCGTAACTCTACGTCGGACTAATCTAACACCTACAACTTAATAATAACAATGGTAAAACGAACTAAAAAAAAGAGGGTTTGGTAGCAAATAATACCCAATGTTACCTTAATTACAAGTAAATTTTTAAACTAACAGTTCAACGGTTGTAGTACTTAATATAAAAAACTAAATCATTTAACATTTAAATCTTCGTAACTATAACACTGATACCTAAACTAACAATAAATATTGTTGTAATTCTTCTCTGTAGTTGAATTGAATTACGTGCAGCCATTATTACTAATGAATTCCCAACGATTCCAAGTAGCAAGATAACTATTAATAAGATGGTGAATATTATTTTCCAAGTAAAACACTTTGATCTATATGACTCGTTGAATGTTGTTGCTGTATATATGGCGTTGTCAAAACTATTGCGCGTGTTGTTTATCATAGTTTCGAATTAAAACGGTCTATTAATCAAAAAGTAACTAAAAACAGTTAAAAAAAGCTCTTAAATTATAAACAAAAATTGATTAAAAATATTTTGAAAAATTAATAGACTGAAAAACAAGACTTTCAAAAAAGATTTACCATTAAAAATCGTCAAAAGATTTACCATTAACTTCGTCATGCCATTTTATATAGATATTTCAATATTTCATAAAACAGTTGTTGACAGTTCTCCGAAATGAATAATTTAACGTTTTAATTAAAAATCATCAAACAAAGATATAGGAAAATAAAAGACATAAAACAAATTTTTCAAAAGTGTAGATTAACAAATATGCAGAACTTTTAACACTTGTACGAGATTTACGCCTTTTTTGTTTTGTTTTATTCCCTTAATTTTTTTAGATTTTTTTGCTATTCTTCATTTCCAAACCTTTTCATTTTATTAATGAAAGAAAAGTTTTGGAAAAAATTTAAAATAAAAGAATGAATTAACTTTATTTCTAAAAGCATGTGTCGGTTAGCATTTTTCCTTTTTTGTGAAATATCACAACATAAGCAATTTTTATTTTTCTTAATATTACTTTTCATACATAAATATATAAATATATATATATATATATATATATATATATATATATATATATATATATATATATATATATATATATATATATATATATATATATATATATATATATATATATATAAATGTAAATGAGCAATTCATACTATTAATTAGGTTACCAAATTAATGTATTAGTATAAACGTAGTCAACATAGCTACTACCTCATATTGGTATTGTGGCTTATCCTCCTCCGGCTAATTGCCATATAGATCCCACATTACCAACGCCCCCAAAGACTAGTTCAGGTCCGAAAGGTGCGTTAAAACCCGCTCTACAGAACGAGAGTAAGGTGAGTTTGGGAAGAATAAAAATATATTAGAGCAAAAGATAGAAGTAGTCGAGTTAGAAAGATAGCATAGAGAAAGCGGACAGGAATTGCACACAATGTTAGAAGGTATACGTACTGTAAGTTAGGCCACCTAACTAATGTACGATGACAAAGACTTAATTGGAGTTTTTTTTTTTTTTTTTTTTTATTAATTTTACATTTGTTGGTCGTATTACAACTATATATTGCCAAAAAAAAAAAAAATAATGATAATAATAAAAAACTTTCACAAATATAAAATAAAGTATCTGAATGAAGATCAAAGGATCTTGTCGTCAGAACCTTAAATAAGTTCAAACGAGCATTAACAGTATCAAATTTTTACAAATTTCATACATATACAATCCAAATATATATTATATAATCCAAAGAGAGATCACGCGGATCTACTCACCAATATTTTATATAAACGTATACGTTAAGTAAAGAATATAAAATCAACAAAATAAGTAAGAATAAACTTTTTACAAATATAAATAAGAAAAGGCAAAGTTATTAATTTATATTATTAATAATAACATAATACGTCTTCTAATGAAAAAATTAGGGTTTTTAATTTACTTTTAAAAAAACGAAAAGTAATGGGTAGTTCGAAATCAAAATTGGGCAAAACAATTTTATTCCAAAGGTGTGGTGCCCGATAGGCAATACAAAATTGATTAAAGTTCGTTTGACAGAAAGGTTCATTTAAAAAGTCAGTATTTCTCAAATTGTATTTGTTGATGGGTTTCGGAGTAAAAATATCTTTGAAGACAGATTGAGACAAGTCATATTTCCACATGTATACAAAGCATAAAACATATATTTAGCTCGTATATATATAAAATTCTCATTTCAATAAAATAATGTTTTGCGTGAGAAAAAGTTCACTCAGTATGAACTCTTTTTCATCTTTTATTGTTGTCCCTACCGCATATTGTGTAATATTGCAATAGTTGAAAACAGATGAGCTTACTCTCAAAAATTGAAATATTTTTGATAGAGAATTGCTTGTGGCTTTAATTTTAACGGTTATTGAGAAAAAACATCTTAAAAAGTACGCGGATTTTCCCTTACTGTTTAAGGGTTAAGGTGTCGCGTAAATTTTATGATAATATTTTGTAAAATTTTAAAAATAATATTTTTATCGCTGAATGATTTAAATTTAAATAACTAATAGATTTTTTTAAATTTATAATATTTAATCTTCAAATTAAAAATTAATTTGGTAATTGTGTGAAGATTTTAAAGCAAAACTTTTATGCTTAAATTCATTTACAGAAATAATTTAATACATTCAAATAATAATATCACATGAATTTCACATTTTAAAGTGTTTTGATTAAGAATGTATTTTCAAGTAAGACATTATTCATTCAAAAGAAAAATACCATCATCAAATGAAAATAATGTTCTTTTGAAATATATGTTTTACGCAACTTTTTGCTCAGTATTTTGGTCAAAACGCAACTGTGTCAATTTTTTAACCTATAAAAATTATATATAAATATTGTGATACTTCCGATGCTGGTTTACCGCTCACACTACACTCTGGGAGTGAGATGGGAAGTTTCGCCAAATCTCAATTGTTATTTTGTGTTAAAAATGTCTTTTGTGTTAATAATGTCTTGTGGATTTACAACTGAAATATCAGTTTAGGACTAATTTTGTTCGATTGCAAATTAATTTTTAATTTCAATTTTTTAAACGAAAGTTTAAACAGAATGTTTTACCGTTTACATACATAGACTGTCGACGTAGACCTTGTAAATGCAATCGTTTCTTTCATTGTTCTTTTTTTTTTTCTTCTTTTTCTGAAAAAGCCGTATGCTATTAAGCCGTATGCTAACATATATATATATATATATATATATATATATATATATATATATATATATATATATATATATATATATATATATATATATATATATATATATATATATATATATATATATATATATATATATATATATATATATATATATATATATATATATATATATATGTATGTATATATACATCAGGGCCGCCGAGAGGGAAAAGCAAACGTGCCCCTTGCGCCATGGTAATAGAGGCGCGTGAAGACGAAAGCCGAAACAAAACTTATTGAGATTTTAGTTACAAAAAAACTAAACTAAAAGTTTTTATTGATGAGGTATTAAGTTAATTTACTTGGGAATGCACATAGCAATTAACTTTGCTTTATTTATATTAACAAAGAATTATAGTTTTAAATAATTTATCTCTTTTTGTTGGTTGATGGGACCAATAAATTATTTAAAACATAAATTTTCATTTGTTTTTTATATTGACGACATTAAAGTAGACACTAGATCTTATCCAAACAACACATTTTATTGTCAAAGATAAGCTTTGTCAGGTTATTTCAGAAAAAAATATTATAAATACTTTTATGATTATTCTGAAAGAAAATTTAATCAAGATTTTAAAAACAAAAAAACTAAATTAATTTTATTTTCTAAGATTTAACGACTCCTTAAAGTGTGTTAAAATATTAAATCAAATATCACACCTACCCTTAAAAAAAGAAAAAAGTCAAGACAAGTTGGTATCTTTTATCTATACTGCAGAGTGACGGAGAGAACTGTCATAGATAGGATTATGAAAAAATGTGCACAATATAGTATTAAATTCTCAATATTCAACACAGTGCCACATAATAACTTCTTCATAACATGCATATCTATAGGCTTAAATCTTATGAAGAAGTCGTTGTGTGACACTGTGTTGAATGTTTTCGCAAAGTCGGTAAAATTCATATAAACCAGATGTCCACGGTAAACTGCTTCTTTTTAAATGTTACAGGATTCAATCAGGTTTTTAAGGCAGCTTTTGTGATGTGCCATATATGGCAGTAGACTACAATGAGTATTAATTGGAGAATACGTGTCTGAAAGGGTATTAGTGGCAAGTGGCGTCCCTCAAGGATTAGTTCTTACATCACTGCTGTTTGTGTTCTTTATCAATGACTTACTAGACTGCATTTATAACTATACCAAACTAAACAACGAAGATAGCAACATCACATGAGTTATAACTTTTATGTCAATTAATTGGTCGCGCAATTGCCTTGTAAATTTTAACATCGAGAAGTGCAAATTGGCAAATTGGTTGTCGCAATAACTGCTTAATGATGCCATAGCTGGCATTGAAGATAATGGATAAAGTCTTGTTCCAGCATGTATTGAGTATGACCTGAGAGAACTAATTTCCAACAACCTCTTAGCCGATGTACAAGTAGAATCAGCAGCTTAGGTAGATAATCAAAGACTTAGTTGTCTCAAGAAATCATTTCAACATTGAAGCTCTTCAGGTATGGAAAAAAAACTGTACCAACTGTACATTAAGTTCAGCATCTAAAGTTTTGTGTGCAAATCTAGTCATCCCTTTTTGAAAATTGCTTTGCTCAAACGTGTCCGACGACGCGCAATAACTAAACATTTCAGTTACAATTGAAAACTAAAACTACTTGGCTTAAATACACTCGAAGAACGGAGTGACCTCATACTGCATTACAAAGTTGTTATTTACAATTGGTTGAACTTTATATTTAACAACTGCAGCCTTTCTCATCAAACACAGCATATGTATATAAAGAAAGTATGGTCTATTTAAAACCACAACTAATCAAAAAATATCAAGAATGTCAGATTTTTTTTTAAAACCGTGTTGCAAACTGTTAAAATGAACTAACGCAGGATGTAATTGATGCGCCTTCAGTAAAAGTATGTTTATGATGTTACTTCGGCCGCAGCAGTGTCAATTTTAGCAAATTAAAGCCTGGTGTTGCTTTACTTCATCCTTTATTAATTTTTTTCTGAATAAGTTTTATTGTTTTCTTGCAATAAATAAATATTTAAGATATTCTGTTTTCAGCAGCAGTTAGATTGACCCGCTAGATAGAATAATCTTCTATCTAGCTTGACTATTACTAGGCTCTACAACTTATAAACAAACTTATAAAAAAACTATCATTAAAGGTGCTGCTGCTCTAAAACCATTACTTTTGCTTTAAAAAAACATTGAACCATGATGAGCGCATGATTCGTCTCGGCTATTAAACAAAATTTTTAACTAAGCGGATGATGATAGCAAAATTGCGATTAACCTGGAAATGCCCTTTTTTTTTTAATAAGTTCCCCAAACTTGAAGTAAATATTTTTGACATTACGTTTTCTCATTTCATTTAACAAATTCAACTTAAAATTAGGATTGCGAAACTGTTTATTTAATATTCTTATTTATCTGGTTGAAAGATCAAGAACTGGTAAAAAATAAAGCTTGT